TGTTTATATATTATATATCATTTTATTTAATTTTTTTATTTATTATTTTGTTTTACATATTTTTTTCAAATGTTATTTTTCTTGTCCTGACCATAATATGGAAAACAGCATATATTTCCCATAAAGTGGATCTTCAAGCAATACATTATATATAGAACATCATCCTAAATAATACAATAGTACCGCATCTGAATGCTTTCAAAAGATCTTTACAGATGCCTTTTTCTTTTCCTTAAAGGGAAGCGAAAGCAAGGAGATATAGAGGCTGCTAATGCTGATCTCTAGTTCTAAATACATTAGTTCTCTGCCTGTCATACTGGTCCAGAACCTTCTTGGTCACTTGCCTGAACAATAGTCCGGACTTCTGACCTTTTCCTGATTTTCCTGTTCTACATACTCCTAGTGGATCAGCATCTCAGAGATTATTGAAGCCAGGGGATCAGCAGAATAACCAGGAAAATGGCATTTTCAGGGAGAGGTCAGCAATGACCACTTTCCCTTTGGAAATATTTGCTTTGAATAAACTGCAGAAATATTGGTGTTATGTAAAGCAAGAATATTAGAAATATAATAATGGTGATGATGATGATGACAACAATAAAATACTTTTCACTTCCTATGTCTCCTCTCTACAGACTGGACCATTCCCTAGGGAAGCCGGGGCTTTTTCTTCCAGGTAATATGCACTTCTCTATATAAACTTCCAATTCCCTGTCTTTTGTATCTCTCTTTTGATCAGATAGATGAGCTCATCTGTCTCCTTTAATTGTCCAGCCACAGGCTGGAGGATGACAAGACCTGTACGTTTTACCTAGAGAATATCCAAACCCAAAAACAAAGGTTTAATATATTGCAGCCTACCAATATCTAGATGTGGTGGCTCTTTCCAGGCTTTTTCTCCCCCTAATTTTATTATCTTGCAAATAACACATTTCCTGTGCTAGGGTGGCTACACTTACTCCTCTATTCTATGCAGGGAGCAGTTGTGGTCACCCCATGCTGTTCTCCTGATTTGGATTACAAATCAGGTCTTCCTCTAGTCATCTCCATTACATGCGGTGAGGGGGATATCTTACAGTAGATAGCTTTGAAGGCTGTCTTTGTACTTCCAGTTCAGCTCACAGGAAGTGACAGGGACTCTGCGTTTCTGGCAGGACCAACAGGTATTTCCTCTACCTGCAGAAGAAAAACGAAATGCAGCCACCAGATCTAAAGACTGGTAAGCTGCAGGCAGTGGCGTCACAAAGGGGGTGCGGGGGGAGCGGACCGCACCCGGGTGACACCATTGATGGGGTGACACTAAAATGACTGAGAGTCCCCTCCGCTCTCTGCCGGCGTCCATCATCAAGATGGCCACCGGCAGGTATCAATAAGATCGCCACGCACGCACGATGACATCACAAAGGGGTGTCACCCGATAACCGCTCCGGGTGACACCTGACCTCAGTACGCCCCTGGCTGCAGGATATGAAATTTATGTTCTTGGGTTTAGATATCCTTTAACTGCAGCAGAGAATTAGATCTCCTTCCCTGCCAGACAGGCCTGTGGTGTGTGGCAGAGCTGTGCAAACCTCAAGACTGGATGATCAGAAATACAAATCTGTTGGCTGGGGAAGCTTGGTGTATATTTTCATGTGTTTAGCTGCTTTAGCTGCTTGCCTGGAGTTCAGCTTTAATAGGAAGTAAAGGCTTGAGGACCGTGCATTGTGTCTCTGTGTTACTGATTACAATGTTGCATTCCTCTGCAGAGAAAGGTGTCGATAAAGGATACTACACAGTCGGTTCAAGGCTCATGCGTCTCGAGGAAAAGGTAATGGCGGATGATGGACTGGACATATATTTAGTGCTTTGGGAGGAGTTGCACAGCTCAGATTGCAAATAAAGAGCAATTCTATGCATGGAACAGCAACAGGCCGAGTTCAATGCTGCCATAGCAGCTGCACATACTCAGTGTGGCTTTACTCCCCAGAAGAGAGAGGAATCCCTGTGTCTCTGCCCCCCATGATGAGGCCAATCGCCAGCACTGTCACATGGGAAGAAGGGTAGTTAGGTTGAAAAAAGACACAAGTCCATGGAGTTCAACCTGCAACCTTTTGTTTTACTTCCATGTACTCCATGGGTAGTATATCTACTCAATTTTATTCTTGCTTCTTCATAGCATGGGAAGGTGACACACATATTAAATCCTGCGCTTCTGCAGACCTCATGCCGCGCCTCCTTCTGACTTTTGGCACCAGTGACGCCTACCCTGAGCTCCCTCTACGTCCCTTAAAGGGGTTCTAAACCCTCTGGTTTTTTTTGCCTATTTTTTTTAAACTGCTTGATAGCAAACAGTTTGATATAGTTGATATAGGCAAACAGTTTTTTTTAAAAACCCACTTTAAGGTTTAAACTTACCTTGTTTTCGCTGCGCGCTCCCGCCCGAGAATCTGGAACTGCTCGGGAGAACGCAAAGGATCTTGGGGCGGGCGCAAGAGCAGTTTGGATTCTCGGCCGGGAGACGAGCAGAGACGCAAGGTAAGTCTATGGACGCGTGCACCCGCATGCAGTCATCGTGGGATCAGAAGTGCCAGCAAGGATAGAGGAGTCAGCGCTGGATCGGAGAGCCGCCGCACCGCTGGAGGAACAGATGAAAACATCAGGAAAGAAGAAGATCAGATTAAGAAACATCATTTAAGGTAAGTGCTAACATTAACATTGGGGGGAGGGAAAAAAAATGTATCCTTTAATGTCACTTTAAGTTTCCCCTTTGCCCAATAGCTTACAATACAACACCAACGGCAAGCCTGATCTCGGCTTTCAACTGCTGTGCGGCAGACTTTGGGTGACCTGACTTTTGAATGAATGCATAACTCACCTAAAGAAGTTCTGTGGAGTTCCCCTTTAATGCAGTTTTAAATGAAAAAGGGTGATTGTTGGCTGCTCTGCCTGGCACTGTGCTCCCTTTTTTTCTTCCTTCTTGGAACCCCCCCAAAACCCTCCCCTCCCCCCTGATAACGCTGACATTTTCCCAGGCCTGAATAATGGCATTGAAATCCCACGCTGGCACATGGAGGGGAGCGCAGGGTCAGCGCCCGGTGCCCCCCTCCTGCCTCTCCTTCCCCACTTTGGGTGTTTTAAGAGCCTCGCTGGCCTAGTGAGCTGGAACGTAGTCTGCTGTCTTGGCAGCGCCCCTGGCTCTGGCATCGCTGGGCAGCTGGACGGGCTGAGTGCGGCCATTGTCTCGGCGGCTCGGAATCAGCCAGACGGCCAGCAGAATGCGGACCCTTCGTTTATTCTACATAATGAGCTCCTCTAATTATTTCTGTGTCACTCAACACTGTGTCCCCAAATCACCCTCTTGGGCTCAGGTCCGCCAACCGGGCCAGGTGAACACAATGCACGCCTCCATGCTGATTGAAGATTGTTGAGTTGCCCACGTTTTCCATAGCAACCACATCCATTCTGCACCCCAAAAAAGTCGCGGTGGACGGCCATCATGCTAGTTATGGAATGTTCATTGTGTCTGAAAACTGCTTCTAAATTGATCAGATAATTAAAAAAAAGACTCTAAGTTATTTGTGTTCTTTCAGTCAGGATTTTTGTGTCAACCAAAACCTGTGTTTCTGCAAGCCAGCTGTAACTTGAAATCGGGTTTTCAGTGGGGGTGGCTGCTCTGCCACAGGCAGGAGAGAAGGGTAGGTGCTTAGAGAGCGCAGGGTGGGCACCACTAGTTTGACAATGTTTTTTAGCAATCCAGGGAGGAGGTGGGGCACCTAGTGTGCGAAATGCGTTAAGCTTTCTTTTGATGTCTGTTGTATAAAGCCTTTTGTTCTTTAAATAAATCTTCGATCAAACAAGCAAGTCCTGCAAACACGTTTCTAAAAATTGATTGTATTAGTGAACTTGTTGCTTTGGCCTACATGGGCAAAGCATGGGTTTGCTTTACTGAATATCAGGACAGAAAAAAAAATTGCAGTACATCTCTGCAATACAGTCACATTTCTCGTATTTTATCGCTTTAAAGCCCCCGCAAGGACCGAAAAAAGTCTGTTAACATGCACTCAAAGTCCTGTTGTGGGCTGACAACGCACAGCATTTTTGCGAACTGAGTGGTGTCAGCCCTACCCTGTGAAACCCTACCCTCTAAACTCAGGAGTTAAAGGAGAACTATGAGGTGAGTGCTTTTCACTCATCCTCATAGTTCTAGCCGACCTGTGACAATGAGACTGTCACAGGTCGGCTCAGTAGAGACATTGCTATGAGACATTGTAAGACTCTGACAGCCACATTCATGGTTCCCAGAGGCAGAGGCATGAGGGCATTTGAAATTTCAGCACAGCCGGAGTGCTGAGGTTGCCTAACCCTGATCTATGCACTAAATATATTTCCAGAGGCTAATAACTTTAATCTGAAGCTGCAAGTTTGGAACACAAACTTGCAGAAGGAAGGTTCAAGAGTAACTTTATAAAGTACACTACATGACCAAATGTTTGTGGACAGCTGACCATCCCACTTACTATGTGCCCCCCCCCCCC